CTTTTAAATATCAACTCTCGTTTGCGCTGCAATCAAAAATTTGAAAATTGAAGTACTACAGAATATTCTGCATTTATTGTAATTAAGATAATATCTCTAACAATGGCGTGCTGTTCCATTCGGTGGTGTGGGAAAAACAGCAAAACATCTTATTACAAAACAAACGGAATGATATTTCATCGGTAATTATTAAATATGTAATTTTTCAATTACCGTTATACCATTATAGCAAAGCACGAGTTAAACTGGTCGATTGACGACACTCGTCGATTGTTTCAAATTCCAGCTGGCCAATCGGAGCGAATTGTCACTAATGATTTGGCAGAATAGTTTCCAACCAAATTAAATGACATTTCGTGTCTATTTCTGGTTATACACTCGAAGGGACTAAACGAATTTTTATAGCACCTTATAAATTTATTTGTGACGCTAAAGTAACAAGTCTACCTGTCTCAAACTATTGGATGTGTAGTACAGACTATGAGTACCAGAGCAACCGAATTTATTTCTCGGTACTAGCCAGAACACTCAGACCAGAAAGAATTTAGAAGTGTTTAAAATTCTTTTAACCGATTGTACTCGTAATAGAAATATACAATACCATTGCGACCTTCTGCTATTATAATAGAACTTAGAAAATATGCAATAAGATCCTAATTCGCTTACTATTTTAGAACGTATTCACTTGAGGTGTACTCCGGCAGCACCGCAATTACAAAATTGTAAATAGAGTGCAGTTTAGATGCAGACGGCGTGACAATCGACTGCATGACTAGGTAGCAGCTACCTACCAGTAGAGCTGGCATGCAACTGCACGCTGGTTGCAACATATATTTTGAAGTCGACATACGTCTCGCGTGTCGACACCCTTAGGTAACCAACTGTACTTAAGAAATACTTGTCAATTTAACAATGTGTTAGGTTAGATTACGTTATTTTTTTTAGGTTAGTTTAATCTTAAAGCACACTTCACACTTTAACCATAAAACCTAGTTAGAGAGCACACACACTAAAAATTAAATTCGATAATGATTAAAATCACAAAAAATGAGCTAGACACCACAAATATGAAAATATCTTAGTATATCGCACTGCTATTACAATAGTGTTGTAACTCAAAATATGTGAAATTTAATATTATATCATTATTGAATGTAAAATATCATTCGCTACACGTCAAAAAAATCGTCATTACAATTTTGTAAGAAACAATCAAAAGACATCTACTTAACTCGAAATGAGATACACTATACGTGAGCTATTTCTGGCCAAAATAATCCTTGTTCGAAAACATGAAATTATTTTTTCCATTTTATTTTTAAATATATTTGAGAAATTGTTTCAGTGTCTTTATTAACTACAACATATAAATTTTAATGATTTTTTTTGCGGGAAGTGAGTAATTCGCCTTTCATCGATTCTGACAAAGTCCTCTTTTTGAGTTAATACACTATTGTATTAACCGTGCGATATGATCCGCAGAGGTATACTTTATACTTTGCTCTGCATGTTGCTTTTTTCGCTGTTACTTTCGCTGTTCTTAGTTACTTAGTATTATACTTAGTGAACGTAAGAAAAAGCAAGAGTCGCAAATAAAGATATGCGTGTTACAACTAGTATTTAGTGTGACTTTTACTGAATGACAGCAAATGACAAAAGCTTCCGTAATAAAATATAAAACTACTACTGCTCTATGTTTAGGGTCAATTCACACTACAATTACACTTAAGGTACAACATTAAATTTATTTAAAATTTTATTACAGTAAAATTCTGTGGCCTTCAATATAGATAATTAGGATAAAGTTCAAATTGTTTTTCTTATTCTAACTTTAGAGTGTTTTGACCCTAAAAATCAATCTAAGTCAAAAATAAATAATTTGGACAAGTTTAAGATAATTAAAAGTAGATGAGAGATGGGTTTCACTACTTTTGCGCTGATAGCATCTATTTAACCTTGATTAGTATTGAAATATCATTTATTAAAATATAATAAGTCAAACTGAAGGACGACCTAGAAAAAAGACAGGTGTGATAATATCTGTATTGATTTATAGGCCAACAATTTTTTTTGAACCACTGACATGGTTCTAGTATTGACTAAAATTCTATTGAGAAGCTAAAATGGAAAGGCTCAATTATAACTAGTCTTGGATTTTTTTACTTCCATCGACTTTATTCCATCGTCCATTACGCAAACGATCCGCCAGTTACACGGTACTTTACCGTTTTCAAATGACAAAATTCCATGACCTGATTTACATAGGTAAATATGTGCCGACATACGTATGTTCGAAAGGTCAAGGTAAATTTTACATAACATCTTTTGGTGTAAACATAATTTGAGGCATTAGGTTTTGGTACACGTGTAAAGAATTAAAAAAAATATAAATAAACGACCTCTATTGAGCGATTTTGATAACAAATTTTTTAGGTATTGATAAAAAAATCGATTGTCATTATAACGTAAAAACTAGTCAAGTACAACTGTACTATAGAATTATAAACAATTTGAAATTAAAATTACCCATCACGAGTTTCCAATATCACAAGATCTATGAGCAATCAAAGCAAATTTATAAAAAAATATTCGCTTTTATAAACAAAAATCAGTTTATTTACTGCAACAATTAGCTGTTTTTTGTCTTGATTATCATCCAATCAAAATCAATCGTTTAATTGTCATTTGTATGACAGTTAATTTTATTTGAGATTACTTATCACTTATTTTTATTATAATTAACTTTGTGGTAAGGCTGCCAAGTTATATATCATGAAATAGAACATTGATTTATTTCTAATGAACTATTTTTTCCAAAATAGAGTAAAATGACGTTAGCACTTAAACAACACGTAAAATTTTTAGTCACCTAGTTGTTGTCCACAGATTTATAGATAAATTGTGAAACGAGATAAAATTTTGCATAAATGAATGACTGGATAATGTCTTGAGACGTTGTAATGATTGAAAATTGCATTATCGCCTTCTTTTTTCTTTTATTATTTTGACAGTTGGTCCACTGATATCCAACTAAACACAAAAAGAAAAATTAGCGAAGTACAGAGTCACGATTTCATTATTACAAGATGAAATCTATTTTTATAATTTAAAATATTCAGTCGATAGTCGACAGAATTTTTTTATCGATGGCAGTCACTAGAACCTTGAAAGCTGGCAACACTTTTGTGTACTAACTGTCATTTTACTCCATCTTGGAAAAAGTAAATTGCAACATAGTGCTCTGGTGGTAGAGTTGCTTTCACGATAAGTACCACCTGCCTATTTCTACCGCAAAGCAACAACTTAGGGAGGGGTTACTTCGCTAGTACTTAGGAAGTTTTCTTTAATATCCCCAATGTCTATAATTAGTGGACGTCGTCGTCTAATAAGAACTTATCAGCTTTTAATAGATTTATTCAAATATTTGAATATATTTTTCCAAAAGGCTGTTTTTTTAAAGAACACCGACAATGCGTTTTCGCTTTTCGAATGGTACATTTGCAAGGAAAACATCGTTTATAGAGGCAATGTTGACAGAGCGGCACTCTACCGACGCTCCAGAGCTCCAAAAGCTGTCGTATACGAAATTCGTTCACCTTACACCTTTAACACTTTATACATTTATGTCTGTGTTATTTGTAAGAAAGTACTTGGTACTTGGTGCAACGGGCTGGTATCCGCAACTCGACGACAAAGCGCCTATTTTGCGTGTGTGTAAGAAAGTATTAAAAATGAAGTAACGATGTGTAAATGTTACTACCAAAAATGGGTTTTAGTTTATGTGATGCAACGTTAGATAATTTTCGGCCATTATCACTAATGACCGAAAATAGAGTATCATAGTCTACTACAGTTACATAATGTCAGCGTTTTATAGAAAGGGCGACAGCGCCATTTGGAAAAAAATTTCAATGGAGAACGTTTTATTTTTTCACGTTTGTTTTAAAATATTTACGTCCCGTTTTAAATATAATTTTAAAACTTAAACCTAATTAACCAAAATTCGATTTTAAAACGAGAGGTAAGTATTTTGAAACATTCGTCAAAACCTAAAACGTGCTCAAGTGTGTGCAAAAACGTGAAAATTTCGAAATATGCACTTTCACCCTTTCTAGAAAACGCCGATGATATTCAGAGTGATACATTTACTTAACGATATTTTAGGCATTGTTGATTTTTAGATGGCATTAAAAGCCGAAAAAGCACAGTAAAGATCTATAGAAGAATTCGACCTGGCAGAGCGACAGACGCTACGCTACGTTACAGCGTGGTCGTGGGTTTAAGTCTAGTCGGGCCGATGGAATTTTACCTTGTGTCGACCCGACAGGACTTAATAATGATATTTTAGGATCAAAGGATTTTTTCTTAGTGTTCGATTTTTGTATAACAATTAGAACAAACTAGTGGAGTAATCTCAAAAAAATAATTGAATGTTATGGTAGTAAAACATCGTGACATTCAATAAAGTTAACATTTATATATAACAGTTTAAAATTAGAGGTAATTAATTGGTGATGGCTAGAATCAAAAATATCGTGAATTATAAAAATCACCCCATAGAACATAAAAATGAGTATATTTTGTCTTACACTATTTAAATTGATAACTGAACGAATTTGTAAATATATTTTCGTTTTTCAAATACAGAAAAAAACTTTAATATTGTGAAATTTTTTTTATATATGTATAATAATACATATTATACGACTCTATTTTATATATTTTTCTATTTTAGTAGCTGCACATACACAGTCCGTATGATTGATTTTCAGTAGTCAAATTGGTATACATATAAATAGAAAATAAATTGCAAAATTATAAATTATTTCGTATTACTTAAATAATGAGTACAGAAATATTAGCTAACTTGATAACAGCACAATCAATATCTGTTTTAATACTACAATTTTAAAGTCCAAATATTTTTACCTTTTGTCAACTTTAATCAAAGTCCAAATATGTTCATTTCGATGAAGACCTAACATTATTTTTCTTGCATTTTTTCTAATTGACATGACTGCGTGTGGCGTCATAGATCTGCAAAATCTTGTTATTTCTAACATGAAAGCCTTGTCTAACATTTGAGAGCCACGTTGGTAATACTCGTTGCTTTGATTATATCAGAAACAAATAAAAAATGAGCTATCATGACACTCGCATTCACATCAACCCGTGAAGTTCGTCCGAAAGGACCCGAATTTCGACGAATAGTTCAAAACACTTTATAGAAGAATGACCAGAACATATCCGCTGCTAAGACGCACAACATATCCGCTGCTAGGACGCACAACATATCCGCTGCTAGGACGCACAACATCGTTGGAAGCTCCTGCTACAAATCAGTGACTGGTCCGAAGACAACTGTGGAATTATTATTGGAATTGACACTAGTGCGACGTGTTCGGCCTTCGTGTTCTGCTTCGCTAGAGAGAGAATCTGGGCCATTTGACACTTGGAGGCCGTTGAATTTCGAACGCAGCTGTGTTACCAAACGCTCCAGTCTGCAATAAACATTTAAGATGTAGAAGATTTGTAACTTGACCTCCGTAAGAGCCGTTTTTTTCCTGTAAAGCAAATTATGCACCCCACGCGTACCTGGCTTGCATGCGTAATTACTTCTGAAGGTAAGTTCAGCTAAAACAAGAATGAGATTACGTCGATAAAAGAGCTCTTCCTTTATTGGATGGTTATGAGAATGATTCTTTGGGCTACGTACGTCGTAACAAAGTTAATACTGTCCTCGGAAGAAAGAAAGGCACGAAGCAGAAAATTCAAAATTCGGTGATGATAAATTGAGTTGAAATTTTTTGTGATAAAAATAGTTAATTAAATTCTATTTTTATATTAAATTATTGCTGTGATAGCTTAGTAGACCCTTGAGCCGCTCAAACTGAGGATTCGGATCCGGCCTCGCACCTTTGAGTTTTTGGGAATTCATATGCGAAACTTTATTTAATTTGAAATTTACCATAGGCTTTTCGTGATGGTTTCATCACTGTACGTCGTAGAAGGTTCACAGCCTTCGGAAAACAAGTTAAGTCTGGAGACCCGCATTGGGCCATTATGGCCGAAACCCTCGCCTGAGAAGAGACCCATGCCCGGCATTGGGACGTATAAAAGGACTGATGATGATGATTAGTTTATTTGTGTTGAACACGTATAGGTAAGACATATTTTATGCAAAAACTTTGATTGTATTGCAATTAGCCATTTTTAAAAAACCTAAAGTTAATAAAAAATTACTATTACTGCTCAAAAAGACATAACTAATTTAAATATCACTTATTTTATTTGTCTTAGAACAGAAGTAAAGGGCACAATTATAGTCATATGTGCCTTTTTTGTGTTATCTATTGTAGTTGAACTACATAAAAGGGTACAAGTTCCGTACATTACTATGTAAAATCGTTTGATATTAGCGTCTAACTAAATAAACGTCAATTATGGATTTTTAATGGTAGAAAATCTGATTACTGATGTCAGTTATGTCTTTTGAGCTTGCTGTATATCCAATATGCTCAGATTGGGGATGCCCTTAAAAAATCGGGTTGAAAGTAACAAGAATAAAACGGGCATATGTATGAATAGACTGATGGGGCTGGATGTGGCGAAGGAGGTTTGTGGAGGTCCATAGCCTGTGCCTACCCCGGTGGGAGACAGGCGTGATGACATGTATGTATATTCAACATTTATTGAAATAGATTTCGACAAAAAATCTGGTAGATTGGTTTTTTCCCTGATTCCGAATATGTATATAACACACTTTTGATAAAAATGTTAGTTGTGCCTTTGTTGGTTCCGACGGCAAAATATAACAATGCAAACAAAACTAAAGAACAAATTTATTATACCTTTGATATCGTTTCTTCTCATTCTTCGACAATTCTGCGAGTAGAATAAATTAATATAAATAAATACGTAAATATACATAAATATGGCCTTCCAAATTATGTAAATATGACCTTTCGAGCCGTAGTAAAAAAATTAATTCTCACTTGTGAGCGTGATCCTCAGCCTGCTTCTTTGCTTTTTTCATCTCGTTGACTTCCTTGCGAAGCCGCACGCGCTCTGATTCCGAATCTTCTAGATTCCCGTTTATTATTTTCAAGCTGTCACTGTTGTCTACGCTGTAAGAAAAACGATATATAGGGCTCAATAGACTCATGCAAAGTGATGCAACTAGTGTGTTGCCGAAGGGTAAAAATTCTGGGGGAAGTTCGTCGTTATTATTTTTATTATTTGTCAGTAATTGCTTCGGACGGAGAATGCAAGTACAGTATCCTTTCTTTCGAGATATTGTGTTGTAAGTACTTTTTTTTGTGTAGTAAGTACTGGCTACTGAAAATTATTCTTAATGTATATATTTTTCGAATTTTAAAAGCTTTCTTTTTCTTTTGTATGACATCTGTATGACCTTGTCTCTCTATTAAAAAATCTTCAAAAACAAACACATCTTTCTTGAATATATTTTTACAAATACCTCGCCAAAAGCTCCAATAGAACCCAAATCCTACATATTGGCACTTGATTTTTTTTTTAATTTGAAAAATATCAATTACGCTGATTTTACCTTATCAATAAAACTGAAATTGATAGATATAAAAAAACCTTATAGGGGGTTGTAGATATGGTTTCGCTGATTTCAGATATGGTAATAACTCAATTTCGCTAAAAATGTCGATTACGTTAGTTATGATAATGAAGGCAGAATAGTGCTAGAGATCGCATATCAGCCACTTAATCTAAGGCTCCAATTCACCAATGGAAGCACATTTTGTAACGATAGCATATCGAGTATATAACCAGAAATAGAGACGAAATAAAGGCTATCCATCCCTGACAACTCATCAGGCAAATGGGCCTTAAATCACTTTTAAATATCAACTCTCGTTTGCGCTGAAATCACAAATTAGAAAACTGAAATAGTAAAGCGCCAACAACTGACCTGTTGTACGTCTCCGTATATTCCAAAAATATTATGTATTTATTGTAATAAAGATAATATCTCTAACAATGGGGGCTGTTCCATTTGGTGTAGTGGGGAAAAAACAGCAAAACATCTAATTACAAAACAAACGGAATCATATTTCATCGGTAATTAAATAAAAAAATTGTGATTTTGCAATTTTCGTCCATTATAGCAAAACTCAAGTTAAACTGGTCGATTTGAAGTGAAAAAAATTTACGACACCCGTCAATTGTTTCGAATTCGGGTTGCCCAATCGGAGCACAGTTGTCACCGTAATGGTATGGAATAGTTCTCAAACAAAGTAAATTACATTTCGTCTCTATTTCTGTTTATATACTCGATGCCTTAGTATAATGAACTCAACGTCAATTGTGTAACGTACAAATTAGAAACGAGCCAAAAAACAGGTCGCGCGTCTTGCGGAGAATTTTCAGGCTGTCTCGAATTCCCGAAGCTCCCGCTCTATATATTCTGAGGTTATAGCTACAATTGAATTTTAGTAGCAGTAGAGCTCCTTGTGAAAGTATTGGTCCAGGGAATTACTGCCATTTTACCTATCTCTGCCGCCAAGCAGTAATGTGCGCATTGCTGCGTTCCGGTTTGGAAGGGTAAGAGTGGTGGTGAAATTACAAGCACATGGGACTTGGCCACTTATGTCTCAGGATATATGATATATGCCCCTAAGATTTTTGCAATTAAAGCTCTGCATGGCACTGCTACTGCGCCTGTGCGCCTGGTGGTAAGCGACACGCTTATCTATAGGCGCACGACATGTTTTTCCCGTTACTTGGTATTATGAAAATAAAACCATAAAAATCATAACGCTACGCAGAATTTAGCTCCAAAAATTAGCAAGGGGCAATATATACGCTTGTATAATAAATAAAATTCAGGTTGATATTCAAATTCTGCGTACTTAGATGGCATAAAACCGTGGTAGTGACCCGCTTAGCTCTAGAAGAACCACGAACGTCTTAAAATCTATTTGTATAATAAAACAAGTAGAGCAATTCCCGCTTGTTCGGAGCGTCAATGCCTACACGTCTCTCGGAGCGTAGGGTTGTCACATTATTGTTTTAGTTGTAAATTTCGGTTGTAAACATAAATTAAAAAAATAAGGTATTCATTACTTTAAAATAACCTTTATCAAATGCAGTACTTACATATTGATATTACATACCAGCATCGCGATTGCAATCTCGATTATGCTATCGTTTCAATAAACATACTTTGGTTTTGCAAATTCAATTGTAATGGCTAGAAAGAATTCTTTAATATCTAATGTACGAAGCAAGTTAAATGTCTTTTATATTGTTAATTTCACAGATTAGGAAAAGCAGAAAAATCCTTTTATGTAGCATTTTCTCAAAATGCTGTTTTTTATATTAAGTGCATTGGCTTGATACGGGAGTATACTGCCGCATGCCGCCGATAGTTGAAAGGGCGTTTGTGACAAAAACTCAAAACCGAGAAAATAATGTTTACAAGACATGAAATTAAAAAGAAGTATCTACTTTTGCGGTAATTTCATACCTTATCCTTTTACGAAAAAGTAAAAATAGTGACATATCAGCCTCTTATTACCGATCACGGCAGTATACGTAGCAAACTTTTTGAAAAAATGCCACATGCGCCCTTTCATCTTACGGTGGCAGTATATATAAACACAACGACACATTACACATAAACATATTTTAACACTGAGTGAACGTTTCAATTCTATAAAACATGGCGCGTGCTACACTCGTTGTGCAACTCGAGTGCACCGCGAGATTATACGAATGTGAGCGTGCGTACAGGCCCGCGGTGGGCGTGCACACATACAAGTTGCGCAGCTACGTTTGAATTGAGTTATAGACTACTTGTCTTATTATGCTTTGGTACAAGGAAGATTCATAAGCAAACCTTATCGAATACATACCTGTTGCTAATTCTGAGATGGCGTAGTTCGTCTTCGAGCTTGGTGATCCGATCCATCATGCGTTGCTTGTCGGCTTCCGAAGCACGCAGAGAGCTCTATACAAACAAACCAAAACTCATTTCAAGATATTGTAGGAACGTTACAATGTGGTGAATTAGTGTTAACTGTCGGGTATTTATTCTTAGGGACTCACCACACGTATTAATAGGAAATCGGCTAGAGGCGGTTAGAAGGAGTTTTATGCCACAGAACAATAAATACAGTCAGTAGAAATGGTTAGTTAGCGTAGCACGCGTGCCAGCTGCCGCCTTGAGCCTACTTGAGATCATTCCGCCATTTTCGCTTTGTACGGCGATTGTATCAATTCTTTCGCGCAAATTATCTAAAATCGTAGAAAAATGCTTTATTGTGTTGTTCTGAATGCAAAAATGATAACCGTGATGGTATTTCATATCATCGGCAAGTCTTATTTTCATAAATTTTCAGTTATTATCGAATTGATTTTTTGTACTGTAACAAACGAAAGTAAACATTATCGTAGTGGAATAAGGTCGAGTTTTATCTTTTGGAGAACTAAGTAAACATCTCGAATTTTCCACGCTAGTAGCGAACAAAAACTTAAGGAAGACATCTGTAGTCAAGACGTTACTCGTCAGTCGTAGAGATAGATGTTAGTCGTCTGTCGTAGTACAGCTATTGGCTGCAAGATGGCAGCGCGTTGAATAAAACGACGTAACTCACAACAAAGGTATTGAACGTTCAACGATAGATATAGAGACTGGGTAAAGTTTAAATTATATTAACAGTTCAGAATTTGTCACATCTTTTTAAATTTCAAGATTCTATAGTGTTTATCATTTATTTGTGTGTTTTGGCGACAGCGGTTCTGATAGTAATCGAAGCTTAAGGTCATGTTTTTCCTTCCGTCGTCCACGCAGTAGCGAAAAAGACTGTGTTTCGCTTACTCGGACCGCACGCGCAGCCGAAAGCGCGGAAACGCGAGACGAAAAGCGTCTTTTTCGCATCGCATCTTCCTAAGATACTAACTTCAGTTTGTTTTTTATTTTTATTGAATTGATATTCAATTATTTTGTATGTGAAATTACTCCACTAGTTTGTTATAATTATTAATACAAAGATCGAACACTCAGAAAAATTCCTTCGATCCGGCCGGATTGGAACCGACGTCTTCTAGCATACCATGCCAGATGCTATACCAACTAAGCCACGGAACGAACCCGCGGACCTCACGAATTTTTTTGTGTGTTTGTTGTCGTGTCTTTGTATTTGGCTTTTAGCGACTTTTTAGCCGTAGCACCATCTATGAGAAATTTTAAGTGTTTCGTCACCCAGTCGGATACCTTTACAGCTACCAGCCCTGCCTAGAGATTTCGCTGTTCATTGTATTTAATTTTTATTGAATTGATATTCAATTATTTTTTATGTGAAATGACTCCACTAGTTTGTTATAATTATTAATACAAAGATCGAACACTCAGAAACAATTCCTTCGATTCTGTTTGTTTTGTTTTTATTTTCTTCGATAATGTTATACATATGCTTACAGTGATCGAGTGATCGAGTAAACCGGGTCCATTTAGTACCAACTGAGCTATGACTTTCAGTAGCTGGTAAGTAGGAGGTATTTATTGCAACCCGTACAGGAGTGCAACGGTTAATATATTCGCGCACACGCTTGCTGACCGAGCGCCTTTACAAGCAAAGGGGGCTAAAATGTTGCAGACTCAAATATGTTAATAAAACTTAAAAACCAAACTATAAGATAATGAATGATAAAATATTGTGTACAATGGTTATATTAGTAATGTTTTCAAAGATATTTCGTTGAGTCTAGACGAACCTATACGGACTACTAGGGAATATATCGGACATCGATTGTATTGTTTAATATACAATATTATTGTTAATGATTTTTTAAATTGTTTTCAAGTATATTTGTATTTAATAATGGCATAACAATGTATAAGTAATTTAATTTTATTATTAATGGAATATAATATTGTGTTTAGTACTTATTATTATCTTGGTACTTGCTTAGTACTTGGTGCAACGGGATGGTATCCGCAACTCGATGAAAAGGCGCCTATTTTGCGTGTTACTTTTTATTATTTTCTTGTTTATATTTTCTTCTTTCTCTGTCTTAAGACTGATATTTGTTATATATTCTGTTCATCGCAAATTAATTTAAATGTATATTCTAAAAAAGAGGCCTTAGTACACATTTATAGTATGTATATTTTAATTGTAATAGGCTGTTGATTTTCTTTTACAAATAAATAAATAATAATTAAATGTCAGATATGTAATTTTATTTTATTTATTTATTTTTAGGAATATTTACAGCGATTTTTAGCAATAAATAAATGTTGAGTAACAGTTGAAAATGCTAATTATAAATATATATAGTTCTACGTATTTATTTGTATATAGTGGTACCATGTTAAGTAAACTCATCACCTGGCACTTGTTCTTTAATGTACTGGGAAATAGAGCATCGTAACTGCACAGTACTAGCCCGTGATAGGCCATCGCAGTAAGCGCAGTGCAAAAAGATAAAACTTGCGAAAATAGCAAAAGTGTGGGTGCAATGTTTCATGCCAGAGCCTGTAGCGATAACTCGCAAGATTTAATTTTTAGAGGAATTGACAATTGGAGATGACATCTTTTATCTCTTTTTAAATATGTCTAAGAATAGACGAAGTCTTAACTCGAACAGCCCTAAATTGTAGCTTTCGGGAAACGCAGATACATTTCACACCTTTGCCGTATGCATCAGGAAGGACGCCTTACCTGCCTCCTTGGCCGAACGGTTACCTTGCTGGTCTGCCACACAGAATCGAACCCGGGCCCCGGCCGGGAGAAATACTTGTATGGCCTACATTTATTTCTCTCGTAAGTTTGAGTGTAATTTGTGGTTGTCTAAGTGTGTGTCCATGGCATCCGCGATACAGGGTTTCCCTAGTGCGGGGCTGAGTGTGTGCGTATATTCGAATGCAAACATGCTGTTCATGTCTATGTGTTTCTGCTAACCTAGTTGGACATTACCACGGTTGACGGTTGCAAAAAAGCTGCACTCAAAAAACCACAAACGCCATTTTCCGCATTTTTCACACCGTCGATTTCTACTATAGAAGAAAGCACAGGACAAAGTAACTATACAATAAACCTACAATGCAATAAACTCGCGGTTCGGGCCAGCAACAACAGCATCCTGAGCATGATAATGAACCTACTCTACTGTCCGTACAGGAATACTATTCTATAAACCACGTACGTAAAAATTTTACATTAGAGCACTCAATAGGTTCATGTTACCTTAATAAACAATTTTTTTTATTATTTCATATTATAATAACCAGAAAGAGGTAGTCAAATTACTTATTTCCGATGTGCATTATCTAATATACACACGAAATGCTAAGAGAGAAACAACATAGTCATGAGGCGTTATTTTAGCGGCCTTCGTAGAGTGTGCCGTCTGGGTCGTTAAATGCGAAATGGCCACTATCTGGACACGGCGGCGCGGGCGCGGCCTAACTCGTAAAATAGTGTTATGCCTGTTATCTTTACATCTACCAGCGCCTTCGGTAGGCAAATATTTAAACTATACGTATTACATATACAGTGTCTCAATCGTTGTCGACATTCATACGATTTGTTATTTGAGAAGCAATACGCCGGTTGAAATAGTGGTTTTAGTTTTTAATTTGTTTTTCTTATTTATTGTGATGCATGTTAAATAAATACCTAAATTCGATTAGTTTTTTTTTTTGTAACCCATCACAAACTCGAATGTTTTTTTCCGAAATAACGTTTGTTCGAATTTTCGTTACACCGAAAACCGAATTAAAACGAAACCGTTGTTCTTTCTTTCTTACATTGCAAAATGATATAATTTGTTATTTTGACAAAATCCAGTTGCAACGACAGTTGATTCTCAGTGGAATGATGGTGATGGCATATTCATTCATTTAGTAACGACCGATGTTGTCTAACTAATATTACCATCTAAATTATTATGCATATCCATATCCTAATTTTTATCTCATTTAAACAGCCATTTAGTATTCATATTAAATATATAAATAGTATTCATATTAAATATATAAATATATACAGGGTGTCCCAGGACGCGACGTCAAGCCGGAACGGGGTGATAGGCCAGGTCATAACTGTTATCAGAAAAATAAAAAATAAAATCTATGTCATGTATTTTAAAAATTATGACCATTTTGAAAAAAATCGAAAAATATACACCCTGTGACGCATTTTCACTTCCCGTTTCTACAAATTTCCACTTTATTTTAATTTTTTTATTATTTTGT